TTCTCGTTTCACACCACATGTTCATACACACTAAAGCAAATACCTAATTTAAACATTGTTAACGTTGATTGGATGACCTATTAAGTATATAGTTTAACAGAGAATTATGTACTTATTTATACTCGATATTTTTTATATTTGATTATAATTCCTTGAAAAAGCTTGGACCAGATTGCCAGATGAAACGTTGGATTTACTTCAAATTCAATCGCTGAGATTTTACAAATACATTATTCCTCCTTAATGTCTCACATAAACTCGGCGCCCAAATTTGTGAAACTACTAGATCAAATTTAGATGAAGGTTCAAATATTTGACCATAATATTCTAAAAATCACGAGGTTATTTTATCCAACTAAGACTGGTAAATAATTTACTTTTAGATTGATAATAAGAGGGTGCAGTGAAAATGTCAAAAGTCTAGTCTGAGTTCACTTCATTGAGTATATAGTTTTATCGCAAAAAACATTATAATTAATGTTGACGTTACAATTTCAAAAGTTATAACCAACTCACAGGATACTTATAAGGCTATTCAAAGTAAATGGTCTTTATAAATCATTTGGTAATATTTTCCACATTCAGTATAGTTTAAAATATATTAGTGCATAAAACGATTGAATTTTGACAGACATCATCATATTCAAACTGAAGTTATTAAAAGAATAATTAAGGTCAGAGTTTCTCTTTAATATCAACAATTTATTCGGTGATTAACTAATCAATGATGATATAAATATCTAGATATCACAAGTTTTTATACATAAATCGGAAAGTAATCACAGAAGTAAGTTTTTACAAGTTCATCTGGTTTGTTTTTTTAAAATATGTTATAGGAAACCAATTTGTAAGAGTTAATAATTGGATCATATTACTAGAACGATTAATACAGTAGTACTGTTGTGAGATAGTAACTCACTGGAAACAATGGTGGATTAGTTGAAGTTAGATAATAACATTATCAGATGCCGACTCAGTGGTCCAGAGGTTAAGCGTTTGTACGCGAGACCAATAGGTCCTGGGTTTGAATCCCGCGAGACGGGGTCGTGGATGCGCACTGCTGAGAAGTCTCACAATAGGACTAAACAGCCGTACGGTGTCTCCAGGTTTTCCATGGTGGTCTAGCTTCATTCATGATCTCAACCATTAAAATTACAATAATGTCTACAAAACCCCTTCTGATAATAGTAATTTTATTTGTTTGAATAATTCTATTCAAAATAATTTTGATGTATATACAAAAGATGATTAATTAAAGGATAAATTACATGACAATTAGGAGCTTCTCAGTAGTCACAATTTAACACTATTATGTTCTTATATTTTTCCAAGTTCAAGTGATAAAATATTTTTATGTTATATTTCTTATAATTGCTTAATAATTATATGAATCCATATTCTAATTTAGATTAATGTTATCCTATTGATACTCTTAGTCAAATTTGTTACTACCAATTCATCTTCGTATTCAGCTTGTACAAAACGGCTAGAAATATTATTTAGACATTGTTTGCTTTCCGCTTTAATTTCAAAGCGTTGTCTTGGTAAGTGCTAGAATACGCAAATAGATTTCGTTTTTTTTAGAATTTCTACTAGCCCTTAGATTATCGATTATTTAGAAAAAACCAATCGATTATTAATTTAGGTGATTTGTAGAGATATATAAAGATTGAATATAATTTTTATTATAATCTGATGGTAGTAATAATTTTAGTAGTTTAGGTCAGTAACCAAGGATTAACTCATTATTAGTGCAATATCTTAAATTTTTCAGAGATCTGCAAAATTAATTCGCATGATTTGAGCAAATGCACTACAACCTAACCTAATAAACGGTTTGAATCCCAATGGTGGGCTTTCATAACATTAAATGAAAAATCACCGAAAGAGAAAAAGTAATGAACACCCGATAGTCTATTTAAATAAATGACTATGTAAAATATAATTTTCCGGCCACAATAATTCACAGTATTTTTGACAAAAAGGCATAGTGACACATGTTTTCAAGGGAAACTAGAAGAAAATAGTTGATATTCCCATATTGTACGTATTTCTATTCAGCAGTAAAATTTTAAGCAGAACTTACATAATTATTCAAATTCATTGAAATTCTCGTCACAAATATGGTCTTTAAATGAGTCACAGTTCCTATGTTTCGCCTAACTTTGTGTTTCTCTATTGATACTTGTTTTTTTTTCAAATTTTACTTAATAGGTCTGAACGAAAAGGTCATTTCATCTTCTTATAGTGGCATTGAAGAATTGAAGAAACTTTGTAATTCATGTAGAGGCTGTGAAGTTTCATTTATGAGTTGTTCAGTTAATAAACTGGACTCTATTGACAACAGAGAATGTTCACAAGCTAAAATGTATTCAAATACGTTTCGTAGAAAACTTGCAGCCAAATAAATATATAATTCGATATATAAATATTATGAATTCGGTGTTTCATTTTTGCAAATCAAACCGAAATGTATGAAGAATAAATTGATATATCTATAGTAATTACTTTTTGAGCTTAATTTACATTTTCTTCTGTAAATAAACCGTTTATGTGACCGTTAGTAATAAAAGTTGATGGCCATAGCTCAAATCACCTGGACACCTATTTAGCGTCATTTCTATTCGATTTACTTACATCCAAAGTCATTTTATCGTATTACATATTTACATATATATATGCAACTTATAATTTATAATATGTATACTGATATTTATTGTGGGAACTAACTTATGCCAACTCAGAAAATGGGTTAAAAAAGCCTAAATACGTGTTGTTTTGTATTGTGAAGCAATCTACAGAAATTTATCGAAATCCCTATCAGTTAAAGGATGATCAGTTGTAAATACAGCCAAATGATCATATATAGCGCATGTCAATGAGAATTGTTATGAAGATAACCTCTATCGGCGTTTCTTCTCATCTCATACTTTCCAGTAGAATGTACCTAGATCTCAGCAGTAATATACATATTGAGAAGCAAATCATTATAATCAGTAACAAAGGCAAGAAATTTCATTGTTTAATTTTATCACTGCTAAGAATAAAGTTTTGCTTCAAGTATACTTAAACAAAATAACGAATTGGTCCCATTTATTACATACGTTACTTTGTCGCAAAAGTTAGGTACAATGGTTCGGCGGAGAGATTACTTCTCGGCCCCAGCATTCTCCAAGCTTTACAATCGGTAATCTAGAATGAATTTTTTAAGATGATTATGTATGGACTTGTCAATAATATCGACATTGTGAATGTAGTCAGTAATATTGGGATAATGAATAAATGATTTGTGGTGTTAGTTATCAATAAGCGATCCATCATAAAATTTAGTATAATCAGTCAATTAAATCAGTTAGGAAAATGAAATAAATACTTACTAAAGTAAATATACCTTTGTTAATTAAATCGACGTAGGTTGAACTATTTAGTATTGATCTATTTGATTAAAGTATAGTCTGGTTAGGTAACTACTTTAGAGGTTGAACTACGAAATCTTACCGGTAGCCACATCTTACTTTAAATATCTAACTTAGGTGATAATCCCATTGTTCACATTCCACTAAATTCACGGTCGATTTAGGCCATTCACCTAAAAATATAAACTGAAACGAATTAGAACTAAGACAATTAGTAATTGATTCTTGACACTCAAATTAAAGTAGTTTTGAATTTAGCACTAATCCTGGTGTTCATGTAGGTTCGGCTTTAGTATCAGACCGAAATCTTATTATCAGTAAGAATTATCTATGTGCATAAAAGTTCCTTTGTTCACTGTAGTATATCACTTTATTCTAGTAAAATATATGAACAAGTAAATCTATAATAATGTAAATGATCATTAAGTATAGAATATACATGTATACTAGAATTTATTTATTCTATTTGTAATGAAAGTTATACAATGTTGAAGTTTCTGACAGATGGACAACCTCAGCATATAATTATCTAGTACTGTTAATAATGAATTACATGTTGCTTAATATACCAACAAATCTAATAAGAACAATTAATGAAATAGTTTAATTTATGTATGTGATTGTAGTGAGCATAATAAACTGAATTTATATCAATTCACTGATCACTGAACTACCATCCATGCTACCTGGAATTAATTAAATTAGTTTTTTAACGTAGGTAGTCCTATGTCGAACTGTAACTCCGCCTGTAGCTCTTCTAGAGTTACTAGCGGTCCCAAGCCCACACAAATGAGGAAAGTTGGGCATGCTGTCATCAACCTTATCCCGTACAAAACAAATTGGTAAGGAAACGCTAACCAGAAAAAATTAAACTCTGCCCTCCAAGTTGTACGACTTTCATTTGGAGGAATTATGACACCTCATAGTGAAAGCCAAGATTCCACAGAAGTCATGAGGTCGACACCTCTTCTAACAACCAGAACAACAATTAATATAGGTACATGGAATGTCCGAACAATTCGGGAGACTAGGAGGACCAATCAAATAGCAACGGAAATGAGAAGATACAACTTGACGGTGCCCGGAATCAGTGATACCTATCGGACCGAAAATGGACAGAAAAGGATAGATTCGGGAAAAGGGCTGTTGTACTTTGGTCATGAAGAAAATGCTTCGTACACCCAAAGAGTTGCGCTGATCCTATCCATAGAATTTCTAAAAGAACTCAGAATGGGAATCTTATGGATCAGGGATTTTCGAAACATCCTTCAAAACAAAACACTAGGGGGTCACAATGAACGCATTCAATGTTATGCTCCTGAAGTGCCTGGTCCTATGTCGAGCCCACATGGGTTGTTCTAGTTTCCGGACAGACCAATCTATTCATTCTCTTCAAACCACATTTTGACCTTGTCATCTATTCGTTTATTTACCTTTACTGTTTTGTATGTAAACGTATGTGTGTTGATTTCGTATCTGACTCATTACATTAAATATCAATTAACACATGAATAAATCGAGTTGGCTCACTCGCATTCTCTATTGTGCGTCATTCTGTTTTGCTTCGCTTTCCAATCAACGATTGTATGAAATATAAGTATTCAAAATGCATTCACGTATTTGACTTATTAAGTTCTGTCATTCACCAACGTGATTTAGGTCGATGATTACATACGAGGATCGGCCAAATGCACATTTTTATAATATGCAGCAAACGATCTACTTGGAGTCAGATCTTGAGCCACTAAAAACCCACCACTGATAGCAATGAAAATAACAAAGATTAGTTTTCTGAAAGGCTGCAATCGATCGAAGAGTAATGCTCAGGAAACGACCTGGCCATTCTGATCGGGGACCTAAACGTCAAGGTCGGAATGGACAACAGCGGGTATCAAGAACTCATGGGATGACAAGGACTGACTAGGAGAAACGAACGAGAATGGTTGGTGACAGATTTGCGAATTTACGTGCATTCAACAAAATGATTACAGGTGGCAGTATAATCACCCACGAACGCACACATAAGGCTACATGGGTATCACTGGATCACACTACAGAGAATCAGATCGATCCTATTTGCATCACTGAGAGATTCAGAAGGTCAGTGGAAGACTTGAGAATCAAGAGAGGAGCTGACATAGTTTCAGATAACCACAAAGTGGTGGTTGCCAAAATGAAGCTGAAACTAAAGAAGCACTGAACAACTGGAGAAACAACATTACGAAGATTCTTCAAGATACTGTCAAACTCAATGAGTTCAAGATATCTCTCAGCAACAAATTCCAAGCTTTACAAAGTATATTCAAGGAAAAAGGGGGAACTGCTATGGAGGACAATTGGAAAGGGATCAAGGAAGTACTAACTTCAACGTGTCAGGAGGTTCTTGGACTCAAGAAGCATCATCATAAGGAATTGATACCTATCGAAACTCTGTTATGGATTCTAGAAATGAACAAAAAGACAGCAATTAACAACTCCCGAACAAGAACAGAGAAAGTCAAGGCACAAGCTAAATACACAAAAGCAAAGAAGAAAGTGAAGAAGAGCATCAGAGCTGACAAGAACAATTACGTGGAAGAGCCAGCAACGACAACGGACAAAGCTTGAAGTGAAAATATAAGGAAGCTATATGACACAACAAAGAAACTAAAAGGGAAATATAGTAAACTAGCGACATCGATCAAGGAAAAAGAAGGCAAGACAATCACCGAGACTCAAGAACAGAGGAACCAATGGGTGGAACACTTCGAGGAACTCTTGAGTGGACCAGCTCCATTGAATCCACTGGATATCGAAGCAGCATCTACAGGCCTTACTATTGATGCCACTCCACCAACAATCGAAGAAATCAAAATGGAAATCAGACAAATCAACAGTGAGAAATCAGAAGTTCGAGCAAAGAACATACCAGCTGAAGCACGGAAGTCAGACATAGAAGTAACTGCAAAGATGCTTCACGTTCTATTCAGGAAGATTTTGGAGGAAGAACAAGTGCCACTTACAGACTGGAAAGAATGATATATCATCAAAATCCCTAAAAAAAGATCTGAGCAAATGGGAAAACTACAGAGGCATCACGCTACTGTCAGTATCAGAAAAACTTTTCAACAGAGTGTTGTTGGACAGGATGAAAGATTCAGTAGACGCACAGCTTCGAGATTATCAGTCCGGATTCCGTGAGGACCAATCGTGCATAAATCAAATGGCGACGCTACGAATCACTGATGAACAATCAGTTGAGTGAAACTCGCCACCATGCATCAACTTCATTAACCATGAGAAGGCATTTGACAGCATGGATTGAAGAACCTCATAGAATCTTCTTAGAAACTGTGATGTACCCGGAAAGATCGTCAACATCATACGGAATTCATACAAAAGACTACACTGCAAAGTGGCGCATGGAGAACAGATGATAGATGCATTTCAAATGACGACCGGAATCAGACAAGGCTGCTTACTCTTCCCTTTCTATTTCTTCTGGTTATTGATCGGATTATAAAGACCTCTACATCTGATGGGAAGCACGGAATACAATGGACAGATTGTATGCAACTGGATGACTTGGACTTCTCAGATAACCTAGCTCTTCTATCTCATACACAGCAAAAAATGCAGGTCAAGACAACTAATGTGTCAGCAGCCTCAGCGTCATTAGGCTCCAACATACACGAGAGAAAAGGTAACATCTTGAAATACGACACAGAGAATGTCAACCCAATCACACTTGATGGAAAAGCTCTGGAAGGTGCGAAGAGTTTTACGTACTTGGGCTGCATCATAGAGAAAGAAGGAGTATCTGATATAAATGTGAATGCACGGATGAGCAAAGCAAGGGGTTCATTCCTACAATCAAAGCACATACGGAACTCGAAGCAACTGTCAACCAATATCAAAGTCACAATATTTAGTGCGAATGTCAAGAGAGTTCTACTCTACGGAGCTGAAACATAGGTAACTACTAGAGCCATCATCAAAATAGTACAAGTATTTGCTAACAATTGTCTACACAAGATACACAATGTCTGCTGGCCAGATACCATCAGCAACAACCTAATTTAGGAGAGAATAAACGAGCATCCAA